TGAAACTTGTACTTTATTCTACTACAACTGCATACTCAGAATCTAATTAAAAAAGTCGAAATTTTTACGAAAATGTGTTTAATATTTTTTTTTTAATTGCATAAATTTATAAGGCAGTGGCACTCGATTGTTGCATTTGTACAGATTAGTACATTTTTATATTGGGCTACAAAAATAATATTTTAAAACTTGTGAAAATTTGGCGCGGCTATAATTTTTCGACTACTGTACATCACCAAAAAAAGTTGCGGTTTTTCCGGCAGAATTACCAAACCTAGAATATCTTAAGACATCTATCAAAATATTTCGGAAATATATTAAGATTTACGTGAGCTGGACCGGTTTGAAAATACCTCTAAAAATTGAGATTTTTATGAATAAAAGTAGTTTCTTAAGGGATTTTTTGGAAAAGCTCCACCCAGATGACAAAACAGTTGAAGCTTAAAATATCTACATAAAAATATTAAAACAGTGCATCAACGGAAACATAATAATGAGATTTTTGATGTTGTTTTTTTTTACTTTGTTTCAAAGATTTGTGTAAGAAAAACTTGGCACTTTATTTATATTTCGTAACAATTCAGTTTTCCTTATATGTCGCCTGCAATGTTGAGTACTTTTCGGTTTTGTCATTAGCAATTTTAAATTTTATATAAGTATATTTTACAGATTTAAAGGAAAATCTCAAAGATATATACATATGTATATATATATTAATTTGTATAGATATGCATATGTATGTACGTATGTATATAAAATGTTCTTTTAAATCGGTAAGATGCATGTTAACTTGTGGTATGTATAAAGTTGTTAATGACAAAATCAAAAAGTACTCTACTTCATATACTTATATCGTCGTTTAAAATGCAAAACCGCGTATCGTCGTTCTGCAAAACCGCGTAACTGACATTTTTTGCCAAAAATTGGATTTTCTCACCGAAGCACGAAATGCGATTGCTTTATAACAGAGAACAATTTTTAATCATGAGTGTTTTTACTCTCTACAAAATAATGTATGCAACCTCACATACGCTGTGATATATAGATATAAAAATATATCTTACCGATTTAAGAAAAAACTTCATATATGTATGTACTTATGTATATCATCAAAAGCAAGAAGAATGAACAAAGCAGCAGTTTTATACGAGGACCGCGCGGCACAATCGCGTGACGCGGTGTGGCGAGCCAACGCGGGCCGCCGCTAAAGAGACAACATTTACTTTTTGTATCGTATGGCTTTCTTTCTCATATGTAATTTTTTTCTTATGGCTTTATTTCACTTTCCCTTATTTCTCCATGTGATTGCACGGCGTCATTGGTCTATGTGGGGCGGTCAGCCAGCCTGAATAACCTAACCTAAACCTAAGTTTGAAATTTTCTTTGCGATAACACAGATTACAGGTTTATGTTATTCGAAGCCCTGAATGAGAATCCGAGATCTGTTAGCCTCCATCAGTCAGGTTCGAGTCATTTCAAGGTCAAGTAGGGAAAAATTCATTGAATAAACCCGAAAACTCAGTACAATTCTTCTGAATTTGACGTTGGGATGAGCTTGGCATGACCTCTAGATGACCTTAATGAAGAGACCCCCATATTGGGGTTCAGCGACAACAAAAACAAAAAAGAAATTTTTTTGTCTTATTTGACCCTCAAATGACCTCGAACCTGACATTATGGAGGTTAACGGACCGCGTACTCGGGCAAGCGAGTCTAAAACCTCATATACATATATGAATTTTCTCCTACCTGAAACGTTTAAAGAATATTATTGTTCGCAAAATATGAAAAAGGCACTTCTATGCGCTTTTTGACTTCTTCGTGCCAAATATATAAGTAGTAGGAAGTCGTCGGCCATCGATTTTATACGTATGTATTTTTGTCAGGGACGTGAACCGGATGAAAAATATGGTCGGTTCGGTTCAGCAGTTCGAACCGCTTTTGCACTTTTGGATTGGTTCGTCAAAGCGGTTTTTTGTGTCTTTGAACCGGGGTTTTGGTTCGGTTCAACGGTTCGAAAAACAAAAAAAAATAACGCGCAAGTTTAAGTGTCAAGTGTCAAGTGCAACATCGCGCAAGGTTAAGGGTCAAGTGTGTTGCCTTTACATTTGATATTGTCACATGGTAAACAAATATGGTAGGTGTTACCATGTCTAACAAAAAGAAAAAAAGTGGGTACATTTATCTATTGAAAATTGGTTGAAATAAACCTTTATAGAAAGTGGTTCGGTTTTCGGTTCGGATCAAACATTTGTGGAAAATTTCGGCTCGGTTAAGGGTTCAGTTAATTAATAGAAAAAAGCGGTTTCCCGGTTCAAAACCGGTTCGGTTCAAAACCGGTTCACGTCCCTGATTTTTGTAGCATTCATTAAGGAGTCTGTGGGGATACATTATTTGAAGAAAAAACTCTAAATAAAATTTTTAAGGCAGTGTCACTCGATTGGTACCTTTGTACAGATGTTTTTAAAGAATGAATTTTAAAAAAAATTTACCAAAATTAAATAACAGCNCGTTTTTCTCGAGTTTCGCTTTTGAAGTTATGACATTATTGAAGTAAATGAGCAATATGTATACTTACATATTAGACGTCTGTATGAATCCGTTCAAAATGGCATAGCGACACCTGAGTGAAATATCGACCTATCTCGGCAGCTAGTTCGAAAACGCCCCATCTTAGAAAACTTTTCAAAACCGCCATATTTCAGAATTTAACTTTTATCTCGGTATTTGGTTGAAGAACGTCCTATCTCAGGTTCAAAAATGCCCTATCTCAACTGAACCGTTTTTTAACCGGCAGAATGAATGTGGTTGGCTATGAACTTTATTGAATTTAAAACTGAGCTGTGTTGAAATGAGAATCGACATGACAACGTTCAAACGTTGTAAAACCATATTGATTCATTGTGAAATTATAATAGTAGTGCTATACTGTAACCATGGGTGAACAACGAAAGCAAGGGCGCCCACGAACGCAATGGAAGAACCAAGTGCAGAAGGAGCTATCTGCGCTCGGGATAACCAACTGGCGCAAATTCGTNTTTACTATGATTACTCGTCCGTGCTATTATAGTAGCACAATGCCACTAAGCGCATTTTAAAATTTTCAGGAAATAGCCTCATGCGATTATCGATTATATTTTTTGTTGTTTGTGTGAAATATTTTATATTTATCAGTATTTTTCTTTTATTCAAAATATGTTGAAGTAAAAGTGAAACAAAAAAAAAAAAATTTGCCAGAACCCCCCCCCCCCCGAAAAAAAATCCTGGCTACGGGCCTGGTTATGTTATTTACAATAGTATGCAAAATTACAAATATTGCTCTAAGGGCCAATTTCACAGTGCGTAGTTAAATCAGAATCGACAGTTAACTAGAGATTTTCAGTACAAAATTCTGTAGTTAACTCCCGATTCTGAGTTAACTACGCATTGTGAAATTGGCCTAAAGTATGCAAAAATTACCGCTATATTTATGTTGCGTAAAAATTTCATTGCTGTATCGATTACCAGTACCGCACTAGAACAAAATATGATTTAATTTTTACTATGGACATATATGTAAAATCCAAATTTTAAAGCCGTTTTTCTCGAGTTTCGCTTTTGAAGTTATGACATTATTGAAGTAAATGAGCAATATGTATACTTACATATTAGACGTCTGTATGAATCCGTTCAAAATGGCATAGCGACACCTGAGTGAAATATCGACCTATCTCGGCAGCTAGTTCGAAAACGCCCCATCTTAGAAAACTTTTCAAAACCGCCATATTTCAGAATTTAACTTTTATCTCGGTATTTGGTTGAAGAACGTCCTATCTCAGGTTCAAAAATGCCCTATCTCAACTGAACCGTTTTTTAACCGGCAGAATGAATGTGGTTGGCTATGAACTTTATTGAATTTAAAACTGAGCTGTGTTGAAATGAGAATCGACATGACAACGTTCAAACGTTGTAAAACCATATTGATTCATTGTGAAATTATAATAGTAGTGCTATACTGTAACCATGGGTGAACAACGAAAGCAAGGGCGCCCACGAACGCAATGGAAGAACCAAGTGCAGAAGGAGCTATCTGCGCTCGGGATAACCAACTGGCGCAAATTCGTACAGGAGAGAGGCAATTGGAAAAGCTTTTTGGTCTCGGCCCAAACTGACAAACGGTTGTAGTGCCAAATAAGAAGAAGATATATTTTTGTATGTCTTTGATTGGACATGCACATTGTATATCGATGGCTGAGTGGAAGATCGACCTATCTCGGCAGCCAGTTCGAAAACGCCCTATCTCAGAAAATTTTTCAACAACGCTTTATCTCAGAAAACTTTTCAAGAACGCCCTACTTCAGAATTTGATTGGAAAACACCCTACCTGAGAATTGGGTTGAATAACGCCCTATTTCAGCTTATTTCCAATGTATTTTCGTTTGAGATAGGGCGTTTTTGAACCGAGTTCTGAGATAGGGCATTCTTCAACAAAATTCTGAGAATTGAACATAACTATCAACTGCCTGTCCTAAGCAAGAGAGCCAAACGACATATTTACAGCCAAAAACTTGCACAATTTTAAAAATTAAAACAAACGTTTTTCGGTTGGCTCTGTATAACTTTGAACTCATTTAAAAGATAGCCGTCATAAGCGGGCCAAAAGTTAGCTATTTTAGCAGTCGACTACGAAATTCCCGACAGTGATCCAAAAAAATTCCGACATAGTCGATCATTGCGCTGGCATATTTCCGATTTATTTTTAATTTTATGCTTACATAATTGTGTAACCAAAGTTATTGTTCAAATGGAGGTAAAACACATCACAGCAACAATGTCAAATTCACAACTTTATATACATAAATACATCAATTATGGCACTTTCGCAGGTTAAACCTAGATCACGTAAACTGCGTTTAGTTTAGCTGGCAATTTAAACTAAGTTTAAACCACAGCCATGCACTAAAAAACTGGCCCTAACTGATAGATTTACTCATACGTATTTTCTTCTTTTTTACTTTCAGCATCATCTCGGTGAAGGCGAAATCGTTTGCAGATCGTGAGATACGCTATACATTGAAGGCACAAGGACAAGGGGCTGGTACATTCAACATTGGGCCGTCGTCGGGTATCGTCAAGTTGGCGAAAGAATTGGATTTCGAAGATTTGCGACAGCCGCATGTCTACTCGTTGATAGTTACTGCCACCGAAGACTCGGGTGGCTTCTCCACATCCGTTGAGGTACGTACTTACAAACACACAAGTAGTCAGTGGGAAAATTTAATGTATGGTAATAGAAAAAATAATCAATAAAACAGCCGTTTTCACATCCGAAAATGCATTTTTCACCCACGGCGATGTCCTAAGAAAAGTATGGCATTTCTTTTTGCCAGGGACGGTAATCATTATGAGTAGAATAATTTAAATCAGCATTTAATCATTATTTTATGAGTTATATTTTTTTCTCTCTAAAATAATAATTATTATTGATTTTTATTTTTTTGCTCAATGGAAATTAGTATTATTTGATTTTTATTTTTTCCGATCAAAAATAATGATTATTTTATGATTTTTATTTTTTCGCTCAGAGATAAAAATTATTACTGAGTTTTATTTTTCCATTTAAAAATGATTATTTATAAAATTGAAAAGGCTATACAGACGCAACTTACTGAAATTTTTACCTGAAAATATTTAGACTTATTCCTTTAATTATGGTGTCGCTACCTCTGAAAAGGATACGGCGGAAACCGCGCTGGTATAATAATAATAATAATAGATTGGCGCTTACACATATGTTAGTGTTTGGCCGAGCTTCTCCTCCGATTTGTGGCATGCGCCTTGATGTTGTCAGACAAAGCGGAGGGACCTACAGTTTTACGCCGACTCCGAACGGCGATTATATTTTTATGAGAAGCTGTTTTTCATGGCAGAAATACTCTCGAAGGTTTGCCATTGCCTGCCGAGGGACGACCGCTGTTAAGAAAAAACCTTTTTTCTATATTTTTGGCGATGTTGCTTTGACCAGGGTTTGAACCCAGGTGTTGCGGAGTGGAAGCGCGCACTGCTTACCACTACACCACAGCGGCCGACGCGCTGGTATAGCTTTTAATTTTTTGGAATGATCATCATTCTTAAGTGGAAAAAACAAAACTCAATAATAAGAATAAAAATCATAAAATAATCATTATTTTTGATCGAAAAAATAAAAATCAAGTAATAATAATTACCTTTGAACGAAAAATTAAAACTCAAATATTAATTATTATTTTTAATCTTTATTGGTTAAACTCGAATAATAACAAGTAAGAAAGTCTAAGTTCGGGCGGAGCCGAACATTAAATACCCGGCGCAGGTACTAAGTATATGATTTTCACCTTTCCGAAAGCTACCGCTACATGGTCAGCAGGTGTGTATCAATTTTGAGTAAATTAGCGTCCTCAAATTTCGAAATATTGAAGTTTCAAGCATTTCTGAATTTTGCCGTTATATGAAAAGTGTCGAATTTTAATCTGAATCCAATAATTTTCGACGTTTTGCTTCTATGTGGCAAGCACAATAACCATACCGTGTTTGGTACAAATTGGTAGAACGGTTACCGAGATACATATATGTGATCATAAATGGGCGGGGCCACGCCCATTTTCCAAAACTTTATCATAAACGTATTTCTTGGTAAAGAGTTGTTGCAAGCATCAATTTTGAGTAAATTAGCTTTATTATTTACTGATTTATCGAAGATTTCGTATTTCTCCAAATTACCGTTATATGGGAGGTAGGCGTGGTTATTGCCATTTGGTATGCTGTAGCTAGGGATGTTGCGATACAAGTAAATACAAGTAGGTACTCGATACTTTCATCTTGAAACCAAGTACTTTTGGCATCGATACTTTCACCAAATACAATAAGAAGGTATCGGATGTAAGTACTTGGTATCGGCAAAAAGTACTCATACCTAAACTCCCATCGATTGTAAAGCAAAAGTACGAATGCCAAAATATAAGGTAGAGCAATAAGTGAGAGCACAATATTCGATCAACTCAAAGCCATTTGAGCAACAGAGCAAACAAAATTTACCGTTGCTATTGTGGTTTGCCATACCTCATTTCAGTTGAATTTCATTTTCTTGGTGGTGTTGCTTCAACTAAAAGNCCGCTACAGCATGACAGAGGAACACTTTTGTAAGTACTCCAATTTACCACAAATAGACTACATGGTCCAACGATTTTTGCAGGGTAAGTGAGAGCACAATATTCGATCAACTCAAAGCCATTTGAGCAACAGAGCAAACAAAATTTACCGTTGCTATTGTGGTTTGCCATACCTCATTTCAGTTGAATTTCATTTTCTTGGTGGTGTTGCTTCAACTAAAAGTTAAGCTTGTAGAAACAGTTCGTAAACAAATCTTTAATACAAATGTATTTATCTTTTTATTATTTGTTTGCTTGACGATTGTTAAATCGTTTGGATAGAGAGACATCATTTTGGACATGTTTTAATTGGATCTTCACGGTCAACCTAACATTTTTGAGTAAAAGTAGCAAGCTAGCTGGCGGAAAATGAGTAAATAAAAGTACATACTCGATACGTTTTGGTTGGTATCGATGTGAGGTTATTTCCATATCCCTAGCTGTAGCAAGACTAACAACTGTGCCAAGTTTGGAAGAAATTGGTGCAGCGGTTACCAAGGTATACACATGTATCCATAAGTGGGCGTGGCTACGCCCATTTTCCAAAAATTTATAACATTCTTATTTTTTGTGTAAAAATTATTGTAAATATCAATTTTGAGTGAATAATCTTCAGTAGTTACTAAAATATCGCAGTTTTCGTATTTCTGAAAATTACCTTTATATGGGAGGTAGGCGTGGTTATTGTCCGATTTTGCCCATTTTATATATAATACCGTCCGTCCTACGCTGGAAAGAAGTGCACATACCAAGTTTGGTTAAGATATCTCAATTTTTACTCGAGTTATCGTGTGCACAGACGGACGGCGGACGGACGGACAGACAGTCACCGCTTAATCGATTTCTCTTTTCATTCTGATCATTTATGTATACATTTGTCTATATCTATGTCGATTCGTTTTGCCTGTTACAAAGAACCGTTATGTGAAAAAAGTTATAATTGTGCACAAGTGCGCTCGGGTATAAAAATCATTGTAAATTACAGTGGGATGTACAAAAACAAATACGTGGGTATAATTAAAATTGTTTTACGGCGATTACAACTTGTTGATTTTTTTAGTTAAAATTTAAAAAATAATGATTATTTTCCGTCCCTGCTTTTTGCATTACCCAGTATCGAAGAGTATACGTTATTAAATAGGGATTTTTTTGGGACTTTTGGGACATTAGAATTAGGATTGCTTATGTTATATCGATATATCGATATTGGCGATATCTTTTGTTTGCGATACGATATTCTCGGCGCGACTTTTTTTTTGACGATACTATCAAATATCAGTATTTTACCCACAAATGGTTATATGGTTAATTTTTTTCATAAGTTCAATAAACTTTAATATATGTATGCGAGTTAAACTGCGCAATCGATTAATGTATGTATTAATGAATGAATACATATCCTTATATTAAAGAATATGTCCTCATATCCATTCATATTTGAAAACATTACCCAAGTTTTTTTTACAAGCCAAATTCTGATAGTTAATTTTTTAGTTGTTAGAAGTCTTGCAGGTGATCTTTTTACGAGTAAAGCTAAGCGCACACCAACGGGATTGCGATAGTGATAGCGATAGGGATAGCGATAATTGGGCATGTACACCAACGCGATAAGGATAGAGTTGCGATTGTACAGTATGTAGAATAACAAAGTCAAGTTATGTAATGTATGTAAATAAGTGTTTGGCACTTTCCTTTTTCGTTGAGCTTAATTCCAATTTCATCCATACTTTATATTTCTTTCTTACATTTTTATTATCTTTTTCATTTAAATCATCCATAACGACTTCTTGCTTTCCATCCTCATCCCAAAAGTAAAGTATCAAGCTCTCATAAGTATTTTGCCAGCTCTGTCTAAAGTATTTGAAAGCTTGTTAGCGGAGCAAGTCAGTGCCCTAAGTATTTTGCCAGCTCTGTCTAAAGTATTTGAAAGCTTGTTAGCGGAGCAAGTCAGTGCACATGTGCTTAAATATAATTTACTTTCACCGTTTCAGTCAGGATTTAGAGCTAAGCACAGCTGCTCAACCGCATTATTGAAAATACTAGATGACATACGCATACCTTTTGACATAAGTCAACTAACGCCGCTCTGTTTGCTTGACTTTTCGAAAGCATTCGACTCAGTTGACCACACATAGCTAAGTTGGAAACTCCAACAATATTTCGGATTTGGTGATAACGCGTAAAAGATTATGGAAAGTTACTTGACAGACGGAACCCAGTATGTTTGCACGGGAAAAGGAGTTTCTCAGCCAAGAAGAATAACCAATGATGTTCCCCAAGGCTCAATACTTTGTCCTTTACTATTTAGTCTCTTTGTTAAAGATGTGTTCCATGTATGTAAATTAGTAAGTATGCATGCATATGCTGATGATATTCAGCAGTATTTGTCGAGTAGCTTTACTGATACAAGTGATCTGTGTTTTAAAATAAGTAGTGACTTATCATGTGNACGCGTAAAAGATTATGGAAAGTTACTTGACAGACGGAACCCAGTATGTTTGCACGGGAAAAGGAGTTTCTCAGCCAAGAAGAATAACCAATGATGTTCCCCAAGGCTCAATACTTTGTCCTTTACTATTTAGTCTCTTTGTTAAAGATGTGTTCCATGTATGTAAATTAGTAAGTATGCATGCATATGCTGATGATATTCAGCTGTATTTGTCGAGTAGCTTTACTGATACAAGTGATCTGTGTTTTAAAATAAATAGCGACTTATCATGTTTGTTGCACTGGGCGAATAACAATGGCCTCTGTCTCAATGCTGCAAAGTCGTACGTGTTGCCCATTGCGAAGAAAAATGTTTCGTGCTTTAAAATTCCTGCAATATGCAATAAAGTCTCTGAGTAAAATCACTAATCTTGGCTTTGTAATTAACTCCAGCCTTACTGGTATCGGCCACATTAACTCTGCTGTGGGTAGAGTATATAGTACTCTGCGTAACCTAAGACAGTCTGTGCACTATACGCCTCTTCAAATTAGAAGAAAACTTGCCATCCAACTCATACTGCCACTTATAACCTACTCAGAGTTAGTTTACAACAAACTTGATTC